GTTTGGTTCTAAAAACGTGGCAGAGGAAACGTGAAGCACACCTATAGAAACAGTGCTGTGAGTTTTCCTGCAGGATGGAAGTTATTTACTGAGAGGGTCATGAAGTTGAATCAATTAGATAACGTTTTGCAGTCTATATTCTTCTTAAGAGTAATACTGTGGGCCTCCCTGGTGACCTAGAGGTTAAGCCTGAGGCATCACTATGATGCCCCAAGTTCAAACCTTGGCCAGGGAGGTGACCCTCAGGGTGCAGGAGACCTCTTCTGTCTTCCTGCTGCTCCCCTCAGCCATATTTCAGTGGATCTGCCTGTTCTGCTCCCTACTCTGTCTCTGGGGAATCCTCTCAGCCCCTGCACTTCTGGCCTGCACCTCAGTTGTTCTATGCAAAAGTAAATAAATAAATCTTGGGAAAATAAAATAAAATGAAAGTACTAATCAAAATAAAGCAAAGAGATGGAACACAAACCCGCAGAGAACTCGCAGGGAGCGTGAGAATGCGATCTGCCTTGACTCTGTTCTGCTGTGCCTTTCTGAGCAAGCCTAGCTCCCCGTGGAGATGCAGGGTCTTGGAGGATATAGTTGGCATCTTTGGCCCATTGTTGTCTCTCTGGTGTCTCAACTGCCAGGCATGAGCACCCCCATGACCAGGAAGCAGTGTGGCTCGATGATGGTCTTTGAAGGGGGATGAGTCCTTGAATCCTGTCCATGGAGCTGACAAACTGTCCCCTCAGCCATCCACGTGTCAGCTTCTGCATCACCTGCTGCTCTGGTTACTGCTGTGAAGATGACCCGAGCAGGTAATTCAAAAGTCAGTGCAGACCGACACTCAAGGAAGATTGTCACTTTTCCTTCTTACAGGAAATCTCACCCCTGCTAAGACTCATCTTTGCATTTTGAAGCTGCAGAAATTTAAGCTCTGAAGTGTTGCAGCCCAGCATGTCCTTGATGCAAAAGGATAGATCGTTAGCCCCAGGAGTTGAACTTTGAACTTTGCTTGTTCATCCATAATCAGAACCGAGCCGAGAATCCAGGTTTCGAATCTTTGTTGCTGGCTCAGATGTCATTCCTTGCATGGGTCAACATTGAGGCAGAGGGTTGGGGATGGTGAGGTGAAGAAGCCACTCTGTGTCTCTTTGCAAATGATTTGCAGCTCTGAGGAGGACTCTTTTCAAAAGGTAAGTGAAGCACCACTGGCACAAAATGCACTCCTTAGGATACGGTTGCTCTCAAACTCAACCTGCTCTCCTCTGGCCCTGAGATCTTTTTACCTGGTAGCTCATGGGCCTGATAGTCAATGAAAAATACTTACAAGTCAGTGGAGGAGGGCAATTACCGTTGGGGAATTCCTATTGACAATACATTGTCAATTTTCTTTCCTCTTGGCTGTCCAATCTGTCATCTTTTTAGGGGCAACTTCATGGGTCTGCTCATTGCTCATTGCTCCTGAGGAGCTCTATGGTTCATGACCACACGTGTGTGCCAAATGCTTGGTTCACACATACTTCACATATATTTGCTCTAATCCAGTCAGAGGAACCAGGGAAAAGATGACTTTCTCAAAAATCTCTATCTAATGTTTGCTGAGTGTCAGTCACCACTCTGGGTTTGGGAAGTTGTGAATGCTGGTCATGTCCTTGGTCACAGGACTGTATGCTAAGTCACACAACCAGCTAGGACCTGTGTTAGAGGTATTTTTGTAGAGCAGAGTTTCACTCATAACGTAGAATTAGACAAAGATGCATTTATACTTGTATTCCTGGTGGAGAAATGGCCTGGGTGATGTGACAAAAACATCTCATTTTCTTCCCTCCTTTAGCAACTTATTTACCTTTCCAAAGAGGCAAAAGAATAGTTGCTAGCATATCAGATAATAAAAAAATCAAGATAGGACATCTTATTCTTGATAGTTCCTATCTCTTTTTTTTTTGTATTTAATACATATATTATCAATTAAATACATATATTTAAATATATATATGTTTAGTGTGTGTATATATATATATATATATATATATACACTACTATTTCTGAGAAGTGGTACAGCTTGAAAAATGCTCAAAAAAAGTTCACAGATGAAAAACAAATGACAACTGATTAGGGGAGATTTAGAAGTGCTGAGCGTGCACACACTGTACAGTTGAAATAATGGTCCTCCAAGCTATCTCCATGATCCAATGATAAGTGAAGGATCTTGAATCATCTGTGTGAATCCTAAATATAATCACAAGCATCCCTTATAAGAGGAATACAGAAGCAAGAGGAGAAGATGATGTAAAAATAAAGCAGCGAGAGAACTGTGCTGGCCTTGAAGGCTGGTGTGATGGGGCCACAAGCCCAGGAATGCTGGTTGCCACCAGGACCAGGAGCAGTGAGGAGCCGTTCTCCTGACTGCCTCTAGATGCGCAGGCCCCCGCTGATGTATGATTCTGGCCCAGTAATACTGGTTTTGGACTTCTGGCCTCACTGAAGTCTGAGCACATTTCTATAGGTTAATTCTTTCTAACAGATAGATGTCAGGAGGACAACCATTCTGTCAACCTGTCTTGCATTGTGCTATCTAGGATAAATTCTGGTTCACCGTGTCACTTCTGACTTATAATAGTCCTTTATTTCCTTTGTAATTCTTGCTGGTCCTTTATTTCCCTTTGAATGCTTGCTGATGTATAGCTTTTCTTCTAAAATTTTGACTTATATGTTAGTTTTTTTTTTAAAGATTTGTTTATTTATGCATACAGAACTGGGATATAGGCCAGAGGTGCAGGGCAGTGAGAAGATTCAACAGAGACAGCGTGGGGAGCAGAACAGGCCGATTGATGAAGTACACTGCTGAGGGGAGCATTGGGCAGGTCAGGAGAGGTCTGCTGCGCCATGCCGGTCACTTCCGGGGCGGGGATCGAACTCATGCGGAAGTGGCTTTAGCTTCTTAGTGCTGTGCTTTAACCTGCTGCACCACCAGGAAGGGCCCTATATTAATGTTTTTAGTGGTGCCATTGCGGAGAATCCAGATGATTTGGATACATGGATTACATGTGGAGGCATGGACCGAGGTAAAGATGGAAAAGTTTGACGACCACTCTGACACATATCTAGTTCCTATCTAGTGGCAGAGGAAAAATGTAAGCTCTTGACGTCTCATTTTGTTGTTCTTCTCAGCCTTTATGCTGACCCTGTCACTGTTTATCGCCTTGACATGTTTTCCTAATATTCACCCCTAGTTACATAAATGGACTCGTGTCTGCCTTCGCCAGTTTCTCAGGCAAGCAACAACTGATTTCGTGTCTATTTTTTAGAGTGTCTCTTATCCACTGAAGGCTAATGTTGCCCAGCTCATTTAGATTTCCACTGACTTCATACTCAAGGCATAACTTTATCTTGAAGTGCTCAGGGCTTTCAGTAACACCCAGTACCACAACTCCTTATTTTCTATCTCATCTCCATTCTGCACCTCCTCCCCTAATTGTCGCCTAACTGCCTGCTAGGCACCTCTCCTTGATGTCAAATAGACAACTCCAGCCATAAAATCACTCATTTGTTGTTGCCCAGACGTCAGACTTGCTGCATTTGTAAATGGGTTCCACTGGACCAGGCCAACGTTGGGTCCATACTGGAGCGGCAGCTGGAACCGCAGCACCCAGAACAGTGCCCGGCACGTGGGGGCAGGCCGCGCGCATGGCTGCTTATGAATGAGCAAATGAGCCCTGTGGCATCTGCTCTCTTGGAATTTGATCTGTTAGGAAGTCACACTGGCCCTGAGACAAGCGAGGGGGTGGAAGCGGGGATGTCTACGTTAGTGATGAACCTGATTTCCTTCTGTCCCCGCCTGTAGCGGTGGGATCCCGTAGTCACTTGTAATTAATTGTACAGCATCCCAACTCCAGCCTGGACACTGCTGGCCCCTAGAGTGTCCTCTAAGAGGCACCGTGGACAGGGACCGCTGTGGTCCGGCGGCGGCGGCGGCGCAAGTCGGGGCGCTTGCGATGCCTGCCCCTGGCCTGTGCGGCCTGGGGGTGTGTGTCGGGGTTCGTGGCGGGGTAGATGCGGGTGCTTGACTGGGGGGCGCGTGCAGCTGGGGGTCGGCGGGGGCGCGCGCCC